TATCTCTGTGTCTCTGTGTCTCTGTGTCTCTCCGAGTCTCTTTTGTCTCTTTGTGTCTCTCTGTGTCTCTCTGTGTCTCTTCGTGTCTCTCTGTGTCTCTTCGTGTCTCTCTGTCTCTTCGTGTCTCTCTGTGTCTCTTCGTGTCTCTCCGTGTCTCTTCGTGTCTCTTCGTGTCTCTCTGTCTCTCTGTCTCTCTGTCTCTCTGTGTCTCTCTGTGTCTCTCTGTGTCTCTCCGTGTCTCTCCGTGTCTCTTCGTGTCTCTCTGTCTCTCCGTGTCTCTTCATGTCTCTTCATGTCTGTGTGTCTCTGTGTGTCTCTCTCTGTCTCTCTGTCTCTCTGTCTCTTGTCTCTCTGTCTCCTGCCTGCCTGCATCATCTCCCAGGTAGAAACTATTTGCTTCCACGTCCAACCCCTAAAGCCAGGGAGGAAGGTGTGTAAGCCTCAGGCTTCTAGAGCGCCGTGTCCTTACAATATGGTTCAGTTCCAAGAACAGCGGCCAGCTGGGGTTCGCACCCGCTGCCTGTGAGTCAAACACCACCTCGAGAAAGTGTTTGCAGAGCTCTGAGAACACCGCGCACACTTTCCAGATTTGGTTGATTCAGGGAGAGAAGCGTGAAAGGGAAACCCTTAGGGAGGACCTGAAAGGAGAAGTGCAAGCAGAAGGGAAAGGGATTCGGCCAGTGGGGGTGGAGGGGTAAGGGTAGGGGGGGACCACAGGGAAAGAAGCTGGACCGGAACATCCCCCTTGAAAATAGACTTGGGGGGCCGGAGTGATAGCACAGCAGGTAGGGAGTTTGCCTTGCACGCAGCCAATCAGGGTTCAATTCCCGGCATCCCATATGGTTCCCTGAGCACCGCCAGGAGTAATACCTGAATGCAGAGCCAGCAGTAACCCCCTGAGCATTGCCGGGTGTGATCCAAAAAGAAAAGAAAGAAATAAATAGACTTGGGACTTTGTTTGGCTTTTGTGAGCCTGTGTGTCTGTGTGTCTCCCTGAATGCCCCACAGTGCTCCAAGGCTGCTCCAGGTTCAGTGCTCAGAATCACGCCTGTGGCTGCCTGGGATGGAGCACAGACCTCCCATATGCAAAGCACGAAAATAGGAGACCATTAGCTAGCCCAGTGGTTTCGGCCACAGCCGGCCATGCTCTCAAGAAGCACTCCGGGCTCCCACAATTCTCTTTTCCTTCTCCCACCCCTTTGGACCATACCCAGCAGTTCTCAGGGGGCTATTCTGGCCTCTGTGTCCAGGAGTGATTCCACGGCAGTGTATTTGGGGGAGCAGATGCAGTGCCAGGATCTAACCAACAGTGGCTGTGTGCAAGGCCAGTGCTTTGGCCTCCCTGGATTATCTTCCCCACACCTTTTTTTTTTTGTTTTTCTTTTTGGGTCACACCTGGCGATGCACTTGGCCTTCGACCTTGCCCGTGAGGCTGAGTTGGACCCCAGAAACACCTCACATAATCAAGTGTGCAACCCCTGGTTATGACATACTGAAGGGAAGGGAATAATTTGTTTTGGGGGTATTTGGCCCCCAGACGGCTCTGTGTTCAGGGGTCACTCCGGGGAGTGCTTTTGGGACCATATGAAGTGACAGGCATAAAATCGGGTTGAGCCCATGAGAGAAAAAATTCCTCAGCTCTTATAATAGTTCTCTGGCATCTAGGGAACATTCTTAATGTAAAGAACATTTTGTTTTCTTTATGTGTGTGTTGCGGAGGGGGAGTTCTGGGCCACTGGGGCCATGCTCAGGACTTATTCCTGCTCTGCATGCAGGGATCCTCCTGGCAGGGCTCGGGGGGATCATATGGGATCCTAGGGATTGAATCCGGGTTGGCCATGTGCAAAGCAAGTGCCCTACAAGCTGTACAATCTCTTGCCCCCCAGGAAAATTCTTGTGTGTGTGTGTATGTGTGTGATTTTTTTTTAAAAAAATTTTTATTAGTGAAACACTATGAGGTACAGTTGTAGACTTACAAATTGTTGCACTTGGGTTTCAGTTATACAATGATCGAGTACCCATCCCTCCACCAGCGCCCATCCTCCACCACCAATGATCCCAGTATCCCTCCCACCTCCCATCCCACCCCGCCTCTGTGGCAGGGCATTCCGATTTGTTCTCTCCCTCCTTTTGGGTTCTGTGGTTTGCGAAAGAGGCATTGAGTGGCAATCATGTTCGGTCTAGAGTCTACTCTCAGCATGCATCTCCCATCCTGGGAGGATCCTCCCAACACCCTTTGTTTGGTGCTCCCTTCTCTATCTGAGCTGCCTTTTCCCCTAGCATATGCAGCTGGCCTTCAAGCCATGGAGTGAATCTCCCAGGAAAATTCTTTATGTTTATTCATTTATTTATTTTTTTGCTTTTTGGGTCACACCCAGTGATGCACAGGGGTTTCTCCTGGTTCTTCACTCAGGAATTACGCCTGGTGGTGCTCAGGGGACCATATGGGATGCTGGGAACCAAACCCGGGTCGGCTGCGTGCAAGGCAAACGCCTTACCCGCTGTGCTATCGCTCCAGTTCCAAATTCTTTATGTTTAAAGGATAATGCTGAATGGTAAAACACAGGCATTTGACCATGGTGAAAGTGAAACTCAAGCCTGAAATATCACTTAGAAAGAGAGCTGGGCCTGAAAGGCACAGAAGGGAAAAATAATTTTCACGGAGGTGAAACCATACCTGGGGGCCACTGGAACCACTGGAGAATGGGGAGGAGGGGTGGGGGGAGGGGTAAAATTCTGACGAGGGGTGGGATTGAATTTGATGGAACAAAGAAATTCAAGTTACTCCTTTGCGAAGTGAGAGGAAAGCATGCATTCAAAAGAGAAAGAAAAAGCAAGACCGCACTCTGGGAAGGAAATTTGTGTGCGTGGGAAGTTTATTTGAAAATGTCTCATTTACAATGTATACAGTCACGAGAAGAGAGGCGACTTTGGGTGCGAATTTAATTAATCTGCAGTAGGAAGGGTGACTTGAAGCACAGATTCTTAAATGAATGAGAATTCTCCTTGTTTATCGAATGTCGCCACACTGGCATGTGTGCTTAATGTGCTTCGTGCGCGTAGTACTTTCTAGAAACCTTGGCCTTTTCCTCTCTGGGTTTGGAGCAGAGATTTCCATGCTTTGGGGCGGGGGGGGGGGGGACTCTTCTTGCATCTCTATTTAATCAATTGTGCAAATCCCATTACATGAAATTGCTTCTGAACAGCAAGAGTCTGATTCTCATTTAGGTAGTTTTTTTTTTATTCTCCCAGCAATATGAAAGGAATCCAAGCCCTGCAGCGTTCTCCAAAATATGGAACTGGTCTCAAAGTCCCCGGATTCCTGTTTGAATTTCATGGGCGTTTTAATAAAATCATGGGGGTTATTCCGAAGGATAAGGTCCAGAGGCCCACAGACTTGTTGACTTGTTACAATAGAATTTTGTTCAATTTACCTGTAGATTGCTTTATTTTTTTTTTCTTTCCTTTTGCTTTTTGGGTCAAACCCGGTGGTGCACAGGGGTTACTCCTGGCTCTGCACACAGGAACCACTCCTGGCAGTGGTCAGGGGACCATATGGGATGCTGGGAAACGCCCTACCCACTGTGCTATTGCTCCAGCCACCTGAAAAGGAATATTGGGACAAAGAATGCTCTTCCATAGTCTCATAGTCTCATGTTAGTATCCTGCTGAAGGTTGTACAGGGAATGAGGTTTATCACTCCATATGGTTCCTTGCTGGGCGCGTCCCTGGAAGCACCAGCAGGTCTCCAGGAGGGCCCATGGTAATAACTGGCACCACAGGCCCAAAACAGCAGTACACATCCTTCAATCCTGGCATTGATTGGAGGCCCAATTAGCCAAGAATCACCAGAAAGGGCCGCCCCCCACCCCCACCCCACACCCCCGCCCCTCTGCCACTACCACCAAAACATCTTTCCCTCCTCCCCCCTCTCTTTTTTTTTGCTTTTGGGTCACACCCAGAGATGCTCAGGGGTTCCTCCTGGTGCTGTGTGTGGGACAATATGGGATGCTGAGGACTGAACCCGGGTCAGCCACTGTCACTGTCCTGTCACTGTCCTCCCGTTGTTCATCGATTTGCTCGAGCGGGCCCAGTAACATCTCCATTGTGAGACTTCTTGTTACTGTGTTTGGCATGTTGAATATTCTTGGTAGCTTGCCAGGCTCTCCGAGAGGGGCGGAGGAATTGAACTTGTCTCGGCCAGGCTGGCTGCGTGCAAGGCAAACGCCCTACCACTGTGCTATATCACTCCAGCCCGGGTCAGTCACATGCAAGGCAAATGCTCTCCCCGCTGTATGCTGTACGCCCACCCAATGGTGTTCAGGGTTTTATTTCTGGCTCTGTGTCCAGGGATCACTCCTAGCAGTGCTCAGGAACAAACCAGGGTAGGCCGCATGCCAGGCCAAAGCCTTCTCTTCTGTACTATCCCTGAAATGTTAGTCAATGGTAAGGTTAAACCTAGGCTGAATGAGACAACAAATTCAGCTGAGACTGGGCTGTGTAAAGACTGTTTCTTTGACTCTCCTATGAACCATCCCACCCGCCTGCCAGAGGTCAGTTCTGGAGACCCTTCTGAGCTCCCCAATCAGGCTTTTCTGTGGTTAGTATGAAAGGAATACCATCAACTCAAGGAACGTCAACCACAATAAATAATAATTGCCTATTTGGTGTGGGAGAGGCACTTGGCGCTTGGTATAGGGGTAGCTTCTGGAGGTTTTCAGGGGGCCGCTGCCAGCTGTGTACAAGGAAATCCCCACCACCCCTGTATTATCTCTCATTATGACCTCGTGGTAGCAGTTTAATCTGCATTGCACCATGAATAGGTGTCAGTTACTATTCTGAGTGGAGAGGGACTCACCTGGGTCTCACCTGGCCATGTTCATGGCTCAAGTGGCAGGAGATCATTTGTGGTGGCAAGGATGAAACCCAAAGCCCTAGGCTAAGCCCAAGACCTGGTTTTTGATACTCTTTGGAAAATTGAACAGGGACTCATGAGCCTTATAAGTTCTTTATTTGGCCTTTTCCTCTCTGGTTAACTACAGATTCTGGGTTTAGCAGAAAATATTTTGGCTTGCCAAGAGGACTGTCTTAACTTGTACTTGGCTTTAAAAGATTTTGCCAGTTGGAGGTCGAATACTGCCCCCCTCCCCCACACACAATAGATTGGATTTTCTAGGACTACAAAAAAGAATGACGGTTCTCACTGGGGGGGGGGGGGGGGAGAGAAAGAGGAATAGAGCAGCCAGGCAGATGTTCAGAAAATCCAACAAAAACAATTCTGAGTCAAGAGGCCCGTGAAGATGAAAGGGGATGAGTCAAAAGAGGCGTAAGAATCGGTATCAACAGATTTAAGAGTAAATAATGCCGGGTGTGATAATAGTACCGCAGGTAAGGCATTTTGCCTTGCATGCAGCCAACCCGGGTTCGATCCCCAGCATCCCATAGGGTTCCTGAGCACTGCCAGGAGTAATTCCTGAGTGCAGAGCTTGGAGGGACCCCCGAGTATCGCTGGGTGTGACCTCAAAAGCCAAAAAAGAAAAATAAGAACGAGTAAATGCTATCTAAAAATGTATTCTATTGAAATGGCAAGGGGAGTGTTTGCTAAGAAGCCCTGAGTCTAATCAATCTAGGATCCTGGGAAGCACCAAAACCCAACGCTAAGATAGACTCTGGGTCAAAAGATTGGGAGTAGAGGCCAAAGCGAGACAGGGTGAAGAAACTATTCATGCCTACAGGAAGAGACAGGCCCAGAACCTTCTCTTCCTCCCACCCATACAGCTTTCCTTGATTCTTCTTTGATCACAGACTCCCGGGTCTCTGCAAATCCACATCTTCGCAGGGCGGAAGTCGGAAGTAGTTGGAGCGCCGGAGTCTTCGGGGTGGGAGACCAGCCATCTGGCGGCACAACTCATCTGGAGGCCGACCATGCGGGAGGAAGCGCAGGGAAATAGCCGGGACTTAGTGGTGGTTTTGGGTTTTTTGTTTTCAATTTGTTTTCTGTTTTTCAGGCCATGCATGGTGGTGTTTGGGGGACCCTGCGGTGCTGGGGATAGAACCCAGGCCACCCACATGCAAAGCATGCGCTCCGGTCCTTTGATCATATTCCAGGCCAAGACTTTTTAAAAAAAATATTTTTCTGGGGGCTGGAGCAATAGCACAGAGGGTAGGGCGTTTGCCTTGCATGCGGCCAACCCGGGTTCGATTCCCAGCATCCCATATGGTCTCCTGAGCACCGCCAGGGGTGATTCCTGAGTGCAGAGCCAGGAGTGACCTCTGTGCACCGCTGGGTGTGACCCAAAAATTAAAAAAAAATTATTTGATGTTTGGGGGCCATAAGTAGTCAGGGCTTACACTAGACTCTGTGCTCAGGAATCACTCCTGGTGGTGGTTTGGGGATTATATGGGATGCTGGGGATCAAACATGGGTTGGTCACGTGCAAGGCCAGCGTCCTCCCTGCTGTGCTATCACGCTGGCACCACCAGGTCAAGGATTTATTTTTAAATTTTATTTATTTTTGCTTTTTGAGTGCTAGGGGCAAGCTACCGAGAGTATTCGATATGCCAGACACAGTAACAACAAAGTCTCCAATGGAGACGTTACTGGGCCCGCTCGAGCAAATCGACGATCAACGGGAGGGCCTTTATCTTTTATCTTTAGGGGGACCATATGGGATGCTGGGAATCGAACCGGGTCGGCTGCATGCAAGGCAAACGCTCTACCTGCTGTGCTATGCTCCAACCCCTTTAAATTTTTTTTTTTTGAATCACTGTGAGCTACATGATCCTTGCTCAGTTGAGCGTCCCTCTCAATGAGATCAAGGAGATATACGTGGTATCAGGGACTGAACATGGGAACAGCTACTTGCAAGGCAAGCGCCTACCTGCCGTTGAGTTTCAGCCATATAATGATCGAACACCCATCCCTCCACCAGTGTACGTTTTCTATCACCAATGTCCCCAGTATTCTTCCAGCCTCCCCCCACCATGACCCCATCCCACTTTTCCCGCTGCCTCTATGGCAGACAATTTCCCTCTTTCTCTCTCTCTGTTGGGCAATATGTTTTGCAATACAAATACTGAGAGGGCCATCCTGTTTGGTCCTTTCTCTACTTTCAGCACACATCTCCAATCCCGAGCGATCCCTCCCACCATCATTGACTTAGTGATCCCTTCTCTATCCCAGCTGCCTTCTCCCCCAGCTCATGGGGCAGGCTTCCAACCCTGGAGCAATCTTCCTGCAGGTCAAAGATTTAAGGGACACAGGAGACCGAGGTTGAGGAGAGAGGTCTGCTCAGAACCTTTGTTGTGCTACTTACTCGCCATTGATCATTTACTAGAAAGTTTCTTAGCTTTTCTGAGCCTACTGTAAATGCTATTAAAATCCCTGCCTCAACAGGGGAGCGAAACCCATAAAATAATGTATGCAAAGTGGCTCGCAGAGAACTGGAGAGACAGAATAGTGAGGAGAGTGTTTGCCTGGGTTCAGTCTGCTGCATCCGACCTGATTCCCCAAACCCCACCAGGAGTGATCCCTGAGTGCAGATCCAGTCCTGAGTACAGCCAAAGTTGCTTCCCTTCACCAACCCCCGCCCCCCCAAATTGCCTAGCACAGGTCAGCAATAAATGAAAACTTCTTTTATAGATTGCTGGTGAAGTGATAGCTCAGTGGGTAGGGCGTTTGCCTTACATATGGCCGACCTGGGTTCGATTCCTCCATCCTTCTTGGAGAGCCCAGTACGCTCTCAAGAGTATCCGGTCTGCTTGGCAGAGCCTGACAAGCTCCTCGTGGCGTATTCGATATGCCAAACACAGTAACAACAAGTCTCACAATGGTGCCCGCTCTTGCAAATCGATGAACAATGGGAGGACAGTGCGACATAGTCAATAGTCCCCCCCCCCCCCCCCCGCCAAAAAAGGGCCCCATCCTTCAAACTATCATTCAGGGTTCGTGCCGTGCAAAGAGCTATTTCCCGCGAGACAGTTGCAAGTCCAAATATTCCTCCTGACTCTCAAGGTGTTTCCCTTGCAGGTGGCTTGTTGCTCAAGAGTCCAAGCCCGGGTTTCCTTCTGCAAAGTTCAGTACTGCTCTGACTCAGGACCCCGCTCAGGCGGGCTGCTGAGTCAGAAATGGCCGAGCCTGTGGGGCCACGAGCAGCCACAGGGAGCACTCGGGGCCGGCCCCGGGGAAGGTGCAAGGTGGGTTTGTTCCCACCGCTCACAGGATATATGACCACAGACCGAAGACCTTGTTTTTCTACCTTCCTCTAGGGCTGCAGTTTCTCAATTAGCCATGTAAATGTTGGGTTCCTGGAATTGGGGCGGGGGTGGGGGGAATGGGGACTTTGGAGAACCTGTTGGAACCTTGCAGAACTGGTGACATTTCAGTGCATGATTTTTTTAGGTCCTATCCAAGCCTTACTGTCTCTGAATAAGGAGGAGTAGTGTGTGTAGATCTGTATGTATGCACTCAAACCTGTGGCTTAACTTCTGTGCAAATGCTTATGTGTGTATGTGAGTGTGTAATCTTATGTGCATATGAGTGTGTTTGTGCGTATGTGAGTATGTGTGCGTCTCTGTAGAGACCTGAGCTATACGTGAGTGTGTAATCGTATGTGCATGTGTGTGTTTGCCTATGTAAGTATGTGTGTGTCTCTGTAGAGACATGAGCTATGTGAGTGTGTAATTGTATGGGCATGTGTGTGTTTGAGCGTATGTATGTGTGTCTCTGTAGAGACATGAGCTATGCGTGAGTGTGTAATCATATGCACATGTGTGTGCATATGTGAGTTTGTGTCTCTTTAGAGACGTGAGCTATGCGTGAGTGTGTAATTGTATGGGCATGTGTGTGTTTGTGCGTATGTATGTGTGTGTCTCTAGAGACATGAGCTATTCGTGAGGGTGTAATCATATGCACATGTGTGTGTTTGTGCGTATGTGAGTATGTGCGTGTCTCGGCTATGTTATGACTTACTTGCGACTGTCTAGTACTTGGACAAAGGACCCGCAGATCTGGCCGGACTCTAGAAAGTTCTGTCTATATGTTATGTAAAAGAGATTGTGGGTTATGGTCTAGTTGGAAAAGAATGGGGTACTTTCCTTTGGTTATTTTCATATACCAAGTATGTTGGTTATCTGGGGGAACTTGATGGCTGATGGCAGTGAAGGGGGGGAGCCTTGGGTCACCCTTAAAGGCAGAGCTTGTCAGCGTGAGCCTCCTCTGCCACCCATTCCACATCCAGACGTCACCTCACCTTTCATCTCCTCGTGTTCTTTGCACACCAGCCGGGAACAGATCTCCTTGTTGATGATGTACATCCGGCGCAAACTGTCATGGGAACATTGAAGCGTGCAGGAAAGAGAGGGGGAAAAAGTGTTGAGGAAGAACTGAGGCTGTATTTTCTTTTTTGAGGATGCTCAAGGGTCATTCCTGGCTCTGCACTTAGAATTTCTCCTGGCAGTGCTGGGGGGGGGGGAGGGGGACCCTATGGGATGCTTTGCCTGCCACATGCAAGGCAAACCCCCACCCCACGGTGCTATCACTTTGTCCCCTCAGGCTGTCTTTTCACTCATGACTACATGTAAGGCAAAAGCATGAGTCTTTTCCTTTGGCTTATTTTGGTGGAATTGGACCCCAGGCCTCACACATACCAGGCCAGCGCTCTAACCCACTGAAGTTCTAACCACTGAGCCACATCCCTGAGCCCCCTGCTCCCCCAAATAATGGAATTCCACAATGTCAGTGGCGGGCGTGTGCAGCTGCTCTGGAATCTTTTTTTTGCGGGGGGGAGTGTCACACCCGGCGATGCTCATTCAGGGGTTATTCCTGACTCATGCACTCAGGAGTTACTCCTGGCGGGTACTTGGGGGACCATAAGGGATGCTGGGAATTGAATCCGGGTCAGCCGCGTGCAAGGCAAACACCTTACCTGCTGTGTTATCATTCCAGCCCCTGCTCTGGGATCCTTACCTGGTGAAGCATAACTGTGGGTGAATACATTGCTTGATTGGTCGATGCACAGAGTAGAGTCGCGTGCAAGCGAATTTCTCATCCCGACAGTCTGACAAAGCCCAGGACAAAAACAAAAACAGTCAGGAGAAGTAGAAAGGCAGCTGTGAGGCACCGGAAGGAGAGATGGGGCTGGGGGTGCCCAGAGCATCATGGGAGTCAGAGCCAACCTTCCTGCTTGCCAAGAAGCAGTAGAAAACCGACTAGATGGGGCAGCCCTGCTGGAAGGATGAGTAGAATCCACCTCTGAGGACTCTTGGGGTGTGTATGTGGTGGTGGTAGGGGATGGGGGAGTCCTCCCATTGAAAACATGACACCTCCCCTCTGATTTTTTTATTTCCTTTTTGGGTCACACTCAGCGATGCACAGGGGTTACTCCTGACTCTGCACTCAGTAATTACTCCTGGCGGTGCTCAGAGGATCATATGGGATGCTGGAAATTGAACCCAGGTCAGCCGTGTGCAAGGCACACACTGTGCTATCGCTCCAGTCCCTCCACTCTGATTTTTGACTGTTTCCTTCACACCTGGTTGTGCTCAAAGCTTCCACCTAGACCTGCACTCAGGGATCACTCCTGGAAGAGCTCTGGGGAACATATAGGGTGCCGGGGGTAGACTGCATGCAAGGCAAAAAGTATGAGTCTATTTTATTTGTTTTGTTTTGTTTTGCTTTTTGGGTCACACCCAGCGATGTTTGGAGTTCCTCCTGGCTCTGCACTCAGTAATTATAACTGGCGGTGCTCAGGAGAACATAAGGGATGCCAGGGATTGAACCTGGGTCAGCTGAATTCAAGGCAAACGCCCTACCCACTATGCTATCACTCAGGTCCCTTTTTTGATTTATTTTTGTGGAATTGGACCCCAGGCCTCACACATACCAGGCCAGTGACTGAGTCACATTCCTGGTCCTGGGGACAGGATGAATAGCATTCATTTTGTCCCCTGCTTCCCCCCAAATAGTAGATAGAGATAGCACCATCTCTCCAGAGGCTCCCGAGGAAGAGGAAACTAAATCTGCAGGAAGAGATGCAGGAGACAACTTACCTCCAGTGGCATTTCTGTCCAGTGCTGCTAGAAGAGAGAAAAACTCAGTTATGACTTGATCCAAGAGTCCCTTCTCCGTCTCTCATGCTGACTCACTCAGGACCCGTGCAGGGGGCCACTATGTAGTTAACGATTGAGTTCATAACTGTTGAGGTGGGGGTGGGGGCACTCCTGGCAGTGCTCAGGGCTTCCCCCTGGGCTCAGCATCCAGGGATTGCTCCTGGCAAAGCACCAGGGCCAATACGGGATGCCAGGGGTTGAACCTACAATGAGGCAAGTAGCTTATTCATAGTACTATCTCTTTTTATTTATGAAAAGTTCATAATTTTTAATGGGTTTTTAAAAGAAGCCCCCAAGGGGCTTTATTTATTTTTTGGCTCCACAACATTGATGAGGAATCAGAATTTGGCTTTTTTTTTCTCCACTTTCCTGGAGAGTTGAGACCTTCATTGTACCATATCTCATTGTGGGGTGACAAAGAGCAAATTTAATGGGAGACACAAGGCAGGAGCCTCAGATTATAGGTAGCAGTGCCTCCTTTTCTTGTTCTTCTTGTTCTTGTTCTTGTTGTTGTTGTTTTGTTCTTCTTCTTCTTCTTCTTCTTCTTCTTTTGAGGGGGGCTTTTTGGGTCACACCAGCGATGCTCAGGGGATCACTCCTGGCTCTGCACTCAGGAATCATTCCTGGCAGTGCTTGGGAGATCATGTGGGATGTCGGGACCTGAACCCAGGTCAGCTGTGTGCAAGGCAACACCCTACCTGTTGTACTATCACTCCGACCCCCCATAGTGTCTCCTTGAAACCACACACATTTCTTCACTAGAAGTTCCTTATCATCATATTCTAGGATAGTATTTCTCGTAAGGAATCTTGAGAGTGGGGCCAGAATGATAGTCCAGCGGGGAGGGAATTTGCCTTGCCATGCAATTTACCCAGGTTTGATCCCTGGCATTCCATAGAGTCCCTGAGCACCGCCAGGAGTAATTCCTGAGTGCAGAGCCATGAGGAACCCCTGAGCATTGCCGAGCGTGACCCAAAAAGCCAATAAACAAATAAATAAAATCTTGAGACATAGCCAGGGGCTGAATTTGTAGAGAGGAGAATAAGGCGAGGAATAAGATGAGTGTTAGGGAAAGACTAATGATCGGGAGACATCCATCAGACCACCACTGCAAGAGTGGCTAGTAGACAGGACATGATAGTGACTAGGTTTTCTCATTCCCATGGTTCCAATATTCCATGACCTCTGCTTCTGGCCCAGATTTTTCCATTCAGTTCTAGATTTATTAATTCGATAGTTATTGGATGGATGAGTTTATGGAGTTTTCAAATCCACCAGATCTCACAATGACTTGTCTTGCCCTGACCAATTTAGTTTGTCCTTTGGTGACTGGTACCACCATCCACACAATAGTTCATCGACCCGACAGAATCGCAATAGATCTTTCTTCCCCCTTGGAGTTCAGATTCCCTTCTCCCTACCTCTATTATCATCACCCCGGTTCCCCATTCTGTTGTTGTGGTCATCGGGCATGTCAGAATCCCAGTGTTGTCAGGATTACACTTTGTTTGGGGGGAGTTTGGGGGGAATGAGCCAGAGATACATCCTCCGTCCTAGGCCTTTGACTTCTAATTGGTACTATGAGATAGCCCAGATTATCATTTGGGGGACAGGTGGTGAAGGCATCAGCAACCGGGTTGGTTTTTCCCATCCATCGTCTCTTTCTAGAAAATTTCTTTTGCATCAAGAACTCCCGGTGATTTTTGATTTTTCACCCTAAGCCTCAACTCATCACTTTTTTCACGCACCTTGTGTCTATTCATTAGAGCCTCTTCTCCTTGTCTTCCAGGAAACAACTCGGCCTAGGTGTTCTCCAGAAAAGCGTTTTTTTTTTTTTTTACGAAACTATGAAGTTTGCATTTTCTGCATGAATACATCTCAATAGAGGGTTTCTACTTTATACCGTCTACTTTATACCGCCAAATTCCGAGTGCGTTTCTCCTTCCCTTAATCCAACAACCATTTAAACATTCATCTTAATTCTACTTTAATATTAGTTATTTTGTAAAGACACAGTAAGAGATACATTATGACGGTAGAGAAATAATCTCCCCAAACACCCTCAACATCAACAATTGACAGGTCACACAGCTGTGTGTGTGTGTGTGTGTGTGTTGGGTGGCTGGCCCTTTCTGACAACTTGTTTCTTTTTTTTCTTAGCTTTTTAGGACACACCTGGCAATGCACAGGGGTTACTCCTGGCTCTGCACTCAGGAATTACTCCTGGCGGTCCTTGGGGGACCCTATGGGATGCTAGGAATTGAACCTGGGTTGGCTGCATGCAAAGCAAACGCCCTACCCAGTGTGGTATCACGCCAGCCCTCACAGCTTGTTTCTGTTTGCACAATATTGCCATTGTTTTTAACACCTAACCCTCAGAACAGGGTACTAAGTGTGGGAAGCCAAGAGCCCTCTCATAGACCCTGGCCGTGGTTCCCATGTTAGGAACTGCTTGGGACAGACATTGGTGACAGTCTCCCAGGACTTCCTGATCTCAGCGGATGCCTGATCTATAGCCACATAACATCAGGCTGACAGTTAACTTATCTGGCCTTATCTATAGTGACCTCCAGGATGAATCTACTGCCCTAAGACCCTTTGATATACAAATGTAAAGCTCAGGATGCACCTACCGCCATAAGACCCTTTGATGTACGAATGTTTACCTTGAATGTTAGGTAAAGCTCTTGTTGCTGACCTTACCATGTATGGTTATATTGCTTCTGCTCCTGACTGGGCTGCCCTGATCCAATATAAACAGCCTGTAGCCCCCAGTAAAGTTCTGTCCCTTTTTCTCTCTGTTTCTAAGCTGTACTCTGTCCCTTGTGTCTTGTGTTCATTCGGTCGGTCCTTCCCTGCACCTACGAATCCTAGGGCCATCTCCCCGGGCCGGAGAGTGGTCTGGCGGGGCCCTCCGCAACTAAGGACGCACTCTAGGAACTGCGGCAGAGAGAATGGGGAATGGGTGTGTAGCTTTCATGCCTTCTCCAGGGGCGTTGTTCTGCTCTCAAATCTCCAAGTGTTCCCCCATGTGCTCCCCATGTGTTCCCCAGTCCACTCTTAATTCCCCACCTACTTTGGGGTTTTTATGGAGACTTCTTTATATGGGCACGATTGACGTCACCATGCCAGTAGCAATTCCGCAAATATCACTCTGCCTTTCCATTTGCATGATTTTCACTGGCAATTCTCTCAATTTAATTTTTTTTATCTTCTAAGTTTCTCTGGAATTTTTTGGTTTGGGATCACAATGAGAATTTTGTTTTCTCAGGAAAGTGTTTCTTGAAATAATTCTTTCCTTTTGGTGTTTGAATCACATCTAAAGGTATTCAGTGCTTACTCTTGCCTGGCATGGCTGTGGGTGGGTGGGAACTATATGGGATGCCAGGGATGGAACATGGGTTGATCTTACTCCACTGTCCTATCTGATTGACTCTCCACTAAACCATTTTATTTGTTTGTTTTGGGGCCACACCCAGGAATGCTCAGAGGCTACTCCTGGCTCTGCACAGGCATGAGGCAAATGCCCTATCTGCTATACCCCAGTAGAGCGTTCCCTAACCTCCAGTACCTCCAGTACTGAACGTAGTCAAGAATTCTTTGAGTTCACCCATGACTTCTTTTGCCTATTCTGGTACAAATTGAATTGGAACATTTCCTTGTTGATCTGTCTCATAGATAAAGATGAAGAACATAACCTTTGTTCACCTTCAGGTGAACCTAACAGCAGGTTTTCAATAACTGTTTAACATTTTTTCTAAGGTGGGATTGGGAGGGAGAGGGAGATGTTGTTTGCGTGTCTTGGTTTTGGATCACACCCAACTGTGCTCAGGGCTTACTCCAGGCTCTGTACTCAGGGGACCATATATGGTGCTGGACATAAAACAAGTACATTACCCCTGTCCTGCTAGCCTGGTCTTGCTATTTATATTTTTATATACCCTTATTAGTGTATGTGTGTGCGTAGTGTCAGGGATTGAACCCAGGCCATCACACTTGCAAAAGGAGCTCTCCACCACTGACTAATAACCCAAGCTCCCTATATTTATGAAAATTTAAAAAAATTTTATAAAACATAAATCTTTTGTAAAATATAATTTTATAAAAATATAGATTAAAAGCCCCGGGGAGGGAAAAGAAGAACATCAGTCACACGAATGGAAGCATCTTATTTATGACCACAAACTCAGTTTGAACTGTTTGCGTCATGTCCTGTCTGTCTGGGGGTTCTTCTCCAGTGGTCCTGCCCTCGTGGGCTCTGGGCACAGCCCAGAGGGGCCCCATTGCTCTGGGATCCCAGATCTGAACTCACCCAGGTCATCTGTGGAAGGCTCGATATCAGCCAGAACTGAAAAGGCACAAAACAGCATGTGTAAGGAGAACTTTGAACAGGCAAGGGGAGGCAGAGGAGAACCATTGAGTGGAGATAGAGCAGGGCATAGTAAGGCCAGGACTGGGCTTGTGTGTATGTCCAATCTAAGTCATTTTTTTCTAAGTTAATCTAAGTAAGAATTTTCTGGGAAAGACTAGATATAGTACTTACATTTGGAAGCCTTTATTTATTTATTTTGCTTTTTTTTGGTCACACTCGGTGATGCACAGGGGTTACTCCTGGCTCATGCACTCAGGAATTACTCCTGGCAGTGCTCAGGGGACCATAAGGGATGCTGGGAATCGAACCCGGGTGGGCCACGTGCAAGGCAAACGCCCTCTCGCTTCAGCCCAAGTTTTTCTAGTTTTGATTCATGTATTTTTTACTCCAGAAATCTTTCCCCACTCAGGGAACCATATGGGATGCTGGGAATTGAACCCAGCGTTGAGGGTAAATGCCCTACCCAAACGCCCTACCTGCCGTGCTATTGCTTCAGACTCTGAAGCCTTCCTCATCTAAGTATCCTCTTGGCACCCTCTCCCCTCCCCACCTTTTATTTAGTGGACTAAGGGACCTCTTTTTTCCCCCTTATCAGCAAACAATACGCCCACCATTTCCCTAGCCCTTTCCCAGAATTAAGAAAACAGGGATCAACTCAACATCTAGACTCAATACTGTGATTATCCCCAAGAATCATGCCTTTTGGAGATGGGTGAGGGACTTGAGCCATACCCCACAGTGCTCAGAGGCTGTTCCTAGCTAGCTCTGTGCTCAGGAATGACCCTTGGCGGTGCCCGGAGACCAAATGTGGGTCTTCTGCATGTGAGGCGAAGGCCTTGGGCCACAGAGAAAACTTACCCGTTTCATCGGTTGCAGGATCATTCACCAGATCTGCAAAGAGGTGCAAGGAATGAAAACTGCCAGTAGGAAAGTAGCAGAAGGAAGGAAACGGGAATGAGGGTTTTGAAAGAAAGAAAGGAAAACTAACGAAACTGCGGTTGCGGACACGGGCAGATAGAGAAAGAAACGGGAGTGGCCACAGGACTGTATGTGTTCACCTAAGGGTGTGCATGTCAGATTGCTGTGTCACCAGAAAGTCGTCTTGAAGACAAATGTCCTTCAACAATTTAGTTTGTTCTTTGGGTTACCACCATCCACAACCAAAATAGCCTATCCACCCAACACCTGTCCTGCAGGAATTCAGAGCAAGTACTCACCGATTTTCCTTCTAGTCTTCACTTTTCTTGGCTTTTGTCCTACACCCCTCTGTCCCCAGTATAAAAACAAAAACCAAAAACAATTTTGAAAAAAGAATGACTTACTAGGATCTTCTGTGAATACTTCGGGAGTTGGTGTAGTTGCATCATTGTCTAGAGGTGGGGGATAAAAAAAAAACATTGTGAGTCTTTGGTCACCCTCTCCCAAGCTTGCACAGCTGTCCCTCAATATCAGTCAGATCCAGAGCCTGCAGTGAGTGGAATTGTCTAGCCTGGTCCACTGTATTTGTTTCCAAATTCTTTTGGCTTGTGACCCAAACAATCACTGGCACTTGAATATTCCAAGACTTTACCTAGTCCAGTTCTAGCCCAGAGGAATCAATCCTCAACAAGTTCTTTTTTTTTTTTTTTAAGGTTTTATTTGGGTCACACCCAGTGATGCTCAGGGTTTCCTCCTGGCTTTGCACTCAGGAATTACTCATGGCAGTGCTTGGACCATATGGGCAAAGCAAACGCCCTCTCCACTTTACGTACTATTGCTCCGGCCCCAAGTTTTTCCATTTGGAATTAGAATTTGATTTGCTAGCAGGACTTCGATGATTTCATTGTCCTTACAGGGAATAGTACCTGCAGCTAAGGTGGGCTTACTATGTATGAGCATGGTGGAAATCCCTGTTTACACAGATGATCAAAGATGAGTATCAAGATGATAATGATTTACTCAAAATCACCGAGCTTATTCATAATCATATGACTCTTGGACGATACCAGAACATTATGAGCTTCTATATATAATTGATTTCATGGGATGTCAATTTGCTGTTATGCTTAGACTTGAGCATTGCCAAAAGGAGCTGTGACTTTCAGATGCTCAGTGAGAAAGCGGGGAAGGGGAACACCAGTGGAAGTAGCAAATATTTTGTGCAAAACATTTTACAGGAATTACAGGAAAGTCAAAAGTCAGGAGAGATCTTGAGGTGAAAGCTATTAGGAAAACACTGAAAATTTGTAAAAAAAAAAAAAAAGAAAGTCTTTCTTAAGACAGTCTCTACTTGAAAACCAAGAGGCATGAGAGCAGGGCAATAGGACAGTGGGTAGGGGACTGTTGCACACAATTGACCCGGGTTCAACTCCCAGCATTCCATAAGGTCCCTTCAGCACTGCCAGGAGTAATTCCTGAGTTCAGAGCCAGGAGTGACCCCTGAGCATCTTCAGGTATGGCCCAGAAGCAATGAATAAATAAAAAAACAAACAGAATAAATAAATAAATAAGGCAGCATCAACACCTACATATTTCTTAGCTGCTGTTTCATCCGTATTTCTTCACGGACAGGTTATGCCATTAACCTGTTTTAAGCACCAGGGATTGGTGAATTTCCAGAGCTTGCCTGCCTTGCTTTTCTGAAAAACTTGTCTAGGAGGTTTAAATCTGAGGGTAGCATTTGTATAAATTGGATTCCAGTGGCTGATAATTTCTTTTGCTTTGGGGGCCACCTTCAGCTGTGCGCAGGATTTACTCCTGGCTTTGTGCTCAGGGATGATGCCTGATGGGGCATTGGGACCACATACAGTGCCAGGGATCGAACCTAGGTGGGCAGTGTGCTAATCAATCACCCTCCCCACTGTATTATCAACTCTCCAAAGCAGAAATTAAATACCCCTTTAAAAATGTTTGAGGGGCGGGAGAAATAGCACAGCGGGCAGGGCGTTTGCCTTGCACGCAGCCGACCCGGGTTCAATTCCCAGCATCCGATATGGTCACCTGAGCACCGCCAGGGGTAATTCCTGAGTGCAGAGCCAGGAGTAACCCCTTTTTGGGTGTGACCCAAAAAGCAAAAAACAAAACCAAAAAGAACCCAGTGGGTTCCAGCAAAAAAAAAGTTTGAGCTACACCCAGCAGTACCCAAGCGTACTCCTGACTCTAAATTAGCCAATCACCTCTGGATTGAAATCAGGAGTTCAAAGGAGATCCATCACTCTGGCCCTAATACAAATCTTTTAAAAATCATTTCCTCTGCTTACTGCTTCATCTTTTTAAAATTCTAGATGGGGGCCTGTGGGATAGTATGCCTTGTAGCGTGTTTGCCTTGCATGCGGCCGACCCTGGTTTAATCTCCAGCATCCCATAGGATCCCCCAAACACTGCCAAGAGTAATTCCTGAGTGCAGAGCCAGGAAGAAACCCTGGTCATCACTGGGTATGATTCAAAAATTTAAAAAATTCTAGATGGTCTTGGATGATGACTCTGTATGCAGAAGCTCAGGGTTCAATGCCCAGCACCATATGGTAGCCCGATCACTTCCAGAAGTGACTCCCCAAACACTGAGCCAGGAATGTCCACATTCACTGCTTGGCATGGCCCAGAAATGAACGCACAAACACACACAGACACAATTCTAAATAGGGAGTCATCAGATCTGGTCAGTGAGATAGGTAGGGTGCTTGCCTTGAATGCGGTTGACCCAAGTTTGATTTCAAGCATCACATGGTCCCCCGCACAAGCCAGGAGGAAGCCCTGAGCATCACTAGGTATGGCCCCAGAAAACAAAGGAAAAAAAAAAGGAAAGAAAGAAAAGAGAGAAAGCAAATCATCAGATATGACAAAGTAAGGGTTTTTTAGGTTTTTGAGTTTTTTTTTTTTTTTGATTTTTGGTTTTTAAATCTGGATTTGCTCCAGTCCCAAGGGAAATTTGAAAAATCACTGACCCAAACCATTCTGGAATCTCTGCAAGGGGGAATGGAGTCCCTCCAGGGTGTAGCCCAATCCTGCCCTAGCTCTCAGCACATTCCAATCCAGCTGCTCACAGCATAGGATGCAGAGCCAAAGCCCGGGAGGGTCGGGGCCTGCCCGCACCTCTACATTTCCAGGCCAGATTCTCTGCACATGCCTTTCTCGGGCATCTTTTTCTTTCTTTCTTTCTTTTTTTCTTTCTTTCTTTCTTTCTTTCTTTTCTTTCTTTCTTTCTGCCTTTTGGGTTACACTCAGTGATGCACAGGGGTTACTCCTGGCTCATGCATTCAGAAATTACTCCTGGCGGTGCTAGGGGGACCATATGGGATGCTGGGAATCAAACCCAGGTCATTCATGTGCAAGGCAAACGCCCTACCCGCTTTGCTATCACTCCAGCCCCCAAAGCTAGAATTTTTGATTTTTTGGAGGCTTCCCTCTGGGGGAGGTCTATAAGTGCCCAGGCCAGCTAATTGCATAGCACATGCCCCACCCACTGTACTATTGGTTGATTTTTTTTTTTGACTCATTAACGGACAGTCTTCTTTGAAAATATGTTATTTATTTCTTGCTTTTACTTGGTCAGTTTCCAAACTGGCAGTGCTCAGAGGCTACTCCCAGCTTCATGCTCCTTTCCGCTACTTGGGGACTGCGTAGTGCTAAGAATTAAATCCAGGGCCCGGAGTGATATTACAGGGGGTGAGGCATTTGCCTTGCATGCGACCGACCTGGGTTCCATCCCCGGCATCCCATATGGTCCCATGAGGTCACCAGGTGTGATTCCTGAGTGCAGGGTAGTAGTAATCACTGAGCATCACCAGGTGTAACCCAAAAAGCAAAAAATAGAAAAAGAAAAAAAGAAGAATTAAAAGAATTAAAGAAAGATAGATTTCTTGCCTGCAAAGCAAGCTTGTTTAGGTTGTTGAACAAGATCTCAGATTCTGGAGGGTATTGCTAGGGGAGAAGAATTGGGATCATACCTGGTCTTGCTCAGGCATTTTGTTTGTTTGTTTGTTTGGTGATCACACCCATTGGTGCTCAGGGTTTACTCCAGGATCGGATCGGTACTCAGGAATTACTCCCAGCAGAGGGGGCCATACAGAATGCTGTGCAAGGGAGATAGCACAGCGGATAGGGTGTTTGCCTTGCATGCAGCCGACCCGGGTTCGATTCCCGGCATCCCATATGATCCCCTGAGCACCACCAGGAGTAATTCCTGAGTGCATGAGCCAGGAGGAACCCCTGTGCAGCATCATCGGGTGTGACCCAAAAAGAAGGAAAAAAAAAATGCTGTGCAGGGAAAGCACGCTAACTGCCGTACTATGTGAGCAAGGAGGAGTCACTCCTGGCTGTACTCTGGAGATCATAGTGATGCTGAGGGCTTGGACCACCGCTAGTCATATACAAGACAAGTGCCTTAACCATTTTTTCAAATGGGAGGAGTAAGAAAGCATTCATTCAGGCTTCACTTCTGGTTCTGCGCTCAGGGAATCACTCCTGGCAGTAATCCGGGAACCCAGTGGGGTGCTGGCTGCATCCTGCTATACTCTCTTGCTGTCCCCACGATCAATGGCTAAACCCTGACCCCTCACTCACAGTATTCAGTCAAAAGCCTAACAGGGCCCAGATCCACGGGTTCACCTACCTCCTCGTTGACCACTGACCCCTAGGGGCGTCCATTCTGTACCAAAGGAAAGAGAAAAAAAAGAATGTGAGTGACTCCAGGGTCCCACAAGACGAACCAGAAGCAATGAGGTCACATTGGGTGATGTTTTCCTCTCTGCTTTCCTTCAGCGGAGCAGGGACAGATTGACTTGGGCAGGGCGACACGCAAAAGGGGTGCAGAGAGGAATTTCCCCAGAGGCAAGTTTCTGAACCCAAACCTCCAAGATACTTTCCTGATTTCATTCCTCTGAAGGTCTGGGTTCTTGTTCTCCCAAGAGGACCAATGGGTTTCCTCAACTTCCCTTCCCCCTGGAGCTACATAGAGCAAGCGTCTTGCAAGCTCTCTGGTATGATGAGGGGAAACTGAGATATCTCTGAAATCCAAGACTCACTTTCTCTGTGGTCCCTTCTCTAGCTATGTGGGGCCATGCTGATGTTTCTTGGGGGCCAAGCTGACGCATTGGATATGTGCGGTGGTGGGTTAGATGCTTTGGTGCTCAGTGGCTCCTCCTGGTGGTATGCTCAGAAATGAATCCAGGGGCCGGGGCTTGAATCGGGACCAGCCGTACCTCCCTCTGATCTTTCCGTGGGATTTGAAGTTGAATTTTATTGGGTTTCTAGACCTCCAATGCTTAATCTCATTTCCTCAGGGTACTTGTGGACTCTGGCTCTGTGTAGTAATGCACATTTGTCTTGGATACAGGTATTTGAGCACCCGGTGGTGCTCAGGGATTATTCCTGCCTCTGTGCTCAGGGAGCCTTTTCTGGTGCTGGGGATCAAACCAGGTTCAGTCATGTACAAGACGTGTGCATTAGCCCCTGTACTTTTTTCCAGCTCCAAATCCTAAGCATTTGCCTGCCTCTGGGCTTCCCCATCAAAACTTCAGATTCTGGAGCTGGAGCCATAGCACAACCGGTAGGGCGTTTGCCTTGCGTACGGCTCACCCGGGTTCGATTCCCAGCATCATCTTTGGTGCCCCAAGCACCCCCAGGAGTAATTCCTGAGTGCATGAGTCAGAAGTAACCCCTGTACATTGCCGGGTGTGACCCAAAAAGTTCCACCCCCCCCAAAACCACCAGCCCTCCCCCGCCCAAACTTTAGATTCCTTTTCTAGGGTGATTTGACATCTCAGGCCACCCTCTGCCCTTGCTTTGGGTGGCAGATCTGTTCTTCCTTGGTCTTTCCGGGATTTGGTTTTGGTTTTTGGCCACACCCTAATGTTCAGGTTTCTCCTGCCTCTGCCCTCGGGTTCTCTCTTGGCAGTGCTCTGAGCAAGCCAAACATGCTACCTGCATCCTAGCCTCCAGCCCTGTATCCTTGCCTTGGAAACAGTATCCCTAGACCTCCATGCCCAGCATTTCTCCGCACTCCCCTACAGCTTCCCTCCCCCGTCCCCCCGCCCCCCTGCAGAGGATGGCAGAGACATAGAGGGTGCTCACCTGCAGGGATGATGAAGGCAGTGATGAACAGCAACATCCTGGGTCCCGAGTGCAGCATTTCTAAGGGGCAAGACACGGGCAGGGGGCATGATGCCAGGGGCAGGCGGTTGGGAGCGACTGGGGGGAGGGTGTCTTCTGGGAATTTTTTGGCTCCCTGCCCCCAACAGTCCTTTCTCCGTTCTCTCTCCAGTGATTCCTTCACTCAGGCCTCCCTTGCTGTTCATTTCATTTTTGGTGTCTGGGAGGGCTGGAGCGGTAGCACAGCGGTAGGGTGTTTGCCTTGCATGCAGCCAGCCCGGCAGAGCCGGGTTCGATTCCTGCGCCCCTCTCGGAGAGCCCGGCAAGCTACCGAGAGTATCTCGCCCGCACGGCAGAGCCTGGCAAGCTCCCCATGATGTATTCGATATGGCAAACACAGTAACAACAGTCTCCAATGGAGACGTTACTGAGTCCGCTCGAGCAAATCGATGAACAACGGGAGGAGAGTGACAGTGACAGTGACAGGGAGGGGTGGTGGTGTGGCAACTTGGGCCACCTCCAGCGGGCCTTAAGGCTCTACTCCTGGAGGCGCCCAGGAGACCCTCCGTAGTGCCCACAGTCAGCCCAGGCCAGCTGCATGCTACGCAAGTGTCCTCCCGCTGACCTATCTCTCCTCCAGCCCCCTGCTATTCATTATTATTATTTTTTTTAAATCTTATGCGCCTAATTCCTTTCTACCGAGTCACAGGAATGTGACCCTACATGGCCACACTCGCACCAGTGGCTGCATCTCCCTTCTGGATGTCTCTTGCCTCTTCCTGTCATCACATTTCATTTTACATTCTCGGGCCAGTGACATGGACCCCGGCCCCCGCCCCCACTACACACACACACACACACACACACACACACACACACACAGACACACACACACACACAGAGTCAGGCATGCATGCATGCACGCACACACAGGCACGCACACCCTGACCGCTGGAGGCATTTGTACACTCACTGTCTGATGGTCCTCTCCTTCCACGGAGTCCTTTGGCGACCGAATGTGTCGTTTCTCCTCACGCCGTTCCCTCGTTGGCTGGAAAATAAGATGAACAGGCCACTCCCTGGAAAGGACTTCCAATTTGGCCTCCTCTGAAACAATGAGATGAGGGAGAGAGAGAGAGAGAGAGAGAGAGAGAGAGAGAGAGAGAGAGAGAAGAGAGAGAGTGTGTGTTGGAGGAGTTCAATGCAGTTCCAATGAGAGCGGGATGGAGAAACTGCGGTCACTCTCATCATCACACCCTCATTCCAAAGCTGATGACCACACTGGTGAGAAACGGCAGCTCCCTCGAAGGCTGGCCCAAGCTCCCAGCCTCTCCCGCATCCCCCACCCCCCACCAGGAATCTCTTTCAGTCTCTTAAGTTTTCGGCCCCCAAGCCTGCCTTTCATGTTTCCTTCGGCTCCTTAACTAAGTAATTCCATCCTGTCCTTTAAGTTCATTTTGCATTGTTTGGGGGTATTTTTTCTTCTTGCTTCTGTGCTCAGGGATCACTCTTGGATCTAGCCCCTGGACCCTGTCTGGAGGCAGTGATCAATTCTGCATTGGCCACGTGCAGAACCAGTACCTTTCCTGCTTTGTTGTGGTTCTGGGCCTGTCTTTAAAGGTTTTTTTTTTTCTTTTCTTTTTTTGCCTTTTGGTTCACACCCAGTGATGCTCAGGGGTTACTCCTGAATATACACTCAGGAATTACTCCTGGCAGTGCTCAGGGGACCATATGGGATGCTGGGGATCGAATCCTGGTTGGCTGTGTGCAAGGCAAACGCCTTACCCACTGTGCTATCGCTCCAGCCCAGCTGTCTTTAAAGGTTTAATGTACGATATCAATTTTATACCTCTTTGTTTATATTCCATACTTTCTTCCCTTTTCTCACTTTTATTATTTTTTTTCCAGCATTCATCTTTTTTTTTTAAATTTTTATTAGTGAAACACCATGAGGTACAGTTGTAGACTTACAAATTTTTGTGCTTGGGTTTCAGATATACAATGATCGAGTACCCATCCCTCCACCAGTGCCCATTCTCCATCACCACGGTCCCAGTATCCCTCCCACCCCCCTCCATCCCCTCCTCCCATCGTGCCTCTGTGGCAGGGCATTCCCTTTTGTTCTCTGTCTCCTTTTGGGTGCCGTGGTTTGCAAGAGGCCTTGAGTGGCAATCATGTTCGGTCTATAGTCTACTTTCAGCATGCTTCTCCCACCCTGGGAGGATTTGGTTCTCCTTTTTCTATCTGAGCTGCCTTTTCCCCTAGCATGTGTGGCTGGCCTCCAAGCCATGGAGGGGCATTCATCTCTTAATACCAACAATTCCTTTGTTTCTACGTGCTTCCCAAAACACTCTGTGCCTCTCCCTTTTCTCACTTTCTCCCCCCCACCCTTTCAATCTTCATGCCACTTGCCACACACACACACACTCTCTCTCTCTCTCTCTCTCTCTCTCTTGCACACGCGAGCCAAATCTTACATATTTCTACAGACAAACATGAGTTTGTTCCAAAGGGAGGTTAGCTGTCTAAGTTTGGAAAAGTTAAAGCATACAGAACCCCCAATCCTTCTGAAATGCTTCTCCAGAGTGGAGAAATTTGGGACTGGAGGGGAGATAGCACAGTGGGGTTTGGCTTGCGCACAACTTACCTGAATCCTCCCCCTGGCACCATATAGAGCCTTCCAAGACCCATCAGGATTTATCCCTGTGCATGGAGCCAGGAGTAAGCCCTGAGCACTGCCATGTGTGGCCCCCAAACCAAAACAAAACCCAAACCCAGAGTGAAAAATACTGAGAGGAGATGCCATCTGTCTTCTGTCATTGACTTTGTTTAAACTTACATCAAGACTATTGGTTTCCAATTGCCTCCGTTTGCAAACCACAACACCCAATAAGAGAGAGAGAACAAAAGGGAATGCCCTGCCACAGAGGTAGGGTGGGATGGGGGGGATGGGGGTGGGAGGGATACTGGGATCCGTGGTGGTGGGAAATGGGCACTGGTGGAGGGATGGGTATTTGATCATTGTATAATGGAAACCCAAGCACAAAAATTTGTAGGTCTACAACTACCTCATGATGTTTCACTAATAACACTTAAAAAAAAAGAATATTGGTTTCCAGCCCAGTGTGATAGTACAGCGGGAAAGGCTTTTGCCTTGCTTGTGGCTAACTTGGGTTCAATTCCGGGCGTCCCTCAAGCACCACCAGGAGTAATTCCTGATTGCAGAGCCAGGACAAACTCAAGAGCATTGCTGGGTATACAACCCCCGCCCCCCCCAAAAAAAAATCTGGGGGGGTCTAGGTTACTCATGGGTCTGTATTCAGGAGTTATTCCTGACACTGCTCGGGGTGAGGGTTGGGGAACCATATGAGGTGCCAGGAATTGAACTCAGGTGGGCCGCACACAAAGCAAGCAGCTGTACCTGCTGCAGTAACTCTAGTCCCTGCTTTCCAGAATCTTAAGGACCAAATGTGTAATCACAGCTGAGTTCATCCTGCTTGGCTTGTCCTTCCTAGACTGCATTTCCTCTGATGCAGGAATTCTAAAGAGCTTCTCCACAGGAGCCCTCGTGTGTCAATCATGTAAGCATCTCCGCTTTGTCAGGAGTAAGCCTGAAATACAGAAACTACATCTGCGGGGCCAGAGAGATAATAGCACAGTGGGGAAGGCACTTGCCATGCACATGATAACTAGGTTTTGGTATCCAACACCACATTCTCTCAGGAGAGATCCCTGAATGCAGAGCCAGAAGCAAGCCCTGAGCACCACTGGGTGTGGCCCAACTGGGGGTGGGGGGGAGGGAGCAGAGAAAAGGGGGGGGGGGGAGAAAGAAACTCAGATGTGAAAATGGTAGACCTCCACTGCAACCTCGCCCCTTAGATGCAGTGCGTTTCCTGGGAGTGTAGAGGACAGGTTGAAAGAGTAGATAATATCAATAGATTACAGACTAGAAGAAAGTGAATTGAGACCAGAGCCATAGTACAGTGGGGAGGGTATTTTTCTTGTACGTGGCTGACCCAGGTTCAATCCCCGGCATATCCTGTATGGTCCCCCAAGCACCGCCAAGAATAATTCTTGAGTGCAGAACCTGGAGGAACCCCTGAGCATCACTGGGTATGACCCAAAAAGCAAAAAAAAAGAGAGTGAATCATGGGAGGAAGAAGGACAAAGGAAGGAAGGAAGGAAGGAAGGAAGGAAGGAAGGAAGGAAGGAAGGAAGGGAGGGAGGAAGGAAGGAAGAGAGGGGAGGAAGGGAGGGAGGGAAAGAGGGAGGGAGGAAGGGAGGGAGGGAAAGAGGGAGGGAGGGAGGGAGAGGAAGGAAAAAGGAATAAGGGGAAGGGAATAAGGGAAATGGAAGGAAAGAAAGGAGGAAAGGTGGATGGAATAATGGATGGAAGGATGGAAGGATGGAAGGAAGGGAAGATGAAGGAAAGGAAGGAAAGGAAGGTATGTAAAAAGAGAGGGAGGAAGGAAGGAAGGAAGGAAGGAAGGAAGGAAGGAAGGAAGGAAGGAAGGAAGGAAAGGAAGGCATGTATAAAAGAGAGGGAAGAAAAAAAGCTCAGAACATACTCAAAAGTGAACCAGTAGCACTTCGAGTTGCACCAGGCGAGCTCTAAGTGCTCACATCTCAGCCCCGGTATTCTGCTCGGCCCGGGCTGCCGTGCAACCAGCTCTTCCATCTGCTGTAGGGGAGAGTTTGAGGCAGAGCAGATGTGCTCCTAATTCGGGGAGAGGAAAGGCAGGGAACTGACGGTGGGGGAGGACAGAGGCCCCAGGCAGCACCAGACACGTCTGAGTCCAGAGCAAACTCATGTTTTCCACGCAGCTCAGACAGATGGGGACTGAACGCGGGCCAGTCATCTGGCAGGCCCAGCTATGACCTCAGCACAGGCCTCGAGGGAGGGAGGAGGGGGCGCTCTCCAGGGGTCTTGGAAGGAGTCTGAATCAGGGCAGGGAAATTGGAACAGCATGTTCCGAGAGGACGAAGGCAGAGGGGACGCAAGGAGAGGAAGCCGGCAGGCCATCGGGGTGGGGGAGCCGAGGACCATCAGCAGAAATGTCCACAGACATTTTATTTTTATTTATTTATTAATTTTTTGCTTTTTGGAGCGATAGCACAGTGGTAGGCATTTGCCTGGCGTACAGCCAGCCCGGCCGAGCCGGGTTCGATTCTTCTTCCCCTCTCGGAGAGGCTGGCAAGCTACCGAGAGTATCTCACTACCCGTGACGTATTCAATATGCCAAACACAGTAACAACAAGTCTCAAAATGGAGATGTTACTGGACCCGCTCGAGAAAAATCGATGAACAATGGGAGGACAGTGTGCATATGTGTGTGTGTGTGTGTGTGTGTGTGTGTGTGTTGCTTTTTGGGTCACACCCGGTGATGCTCAGGGCTTACTTTTGGTTCTGCACTCCTAGCGGTGCTCAGGGGATCATGGGATGCTGGGGATCGAACCCTGGTCCGCCGAATGCAAGGCAAACACTCCACCCTCTGGACTATAGCTCCGACCCCAGCCCATAGGCTTTTTTGTGTGTGTGTATATGGTGGGGGGGGGGGAAGAGTCAAACCTGGTGATGCACAGGGGTTCCTCCTGGCTCTACACTCAGGAATTATCCCTGGTGGTTGCTTCAGGGGACCCTATGGGATGCTGGGAATCGAACCCAGGTTGGCTAGTGCAAGGCCAAGCGCCCTACCTGCTGTACTATAGCTCCAGCCCCCAGCCCCAGGAACGTGTTGACCTTGCAGGCCTTGCATTTGGCTCTCATAGGCGTCATCACTCTCAGTGCTTGGCTCCCCAGGATGGGAGACCCTCGAGGGTGTTTGCTTTTGGGAGCATTTTTGGTCTGTCAAAAAGGGCCCTGGTAATCATGGTGAGAAATGAGTAGCTCTATGGGCCAGGGTCGCAGCGCTGCAGTGGGATGTTTGTCACATCTCAGGGTTGGGGACCTGAGCCACTGCCCAGGTGTGCCCCCAAAGAAGGAAAGAACAGGGGATAGAGTGATAGATAGCACAGCGGGTTAGGGTGTTTGCCTTGCACACGGGCCAACCTGGGTTCAATCCCAGGCATCCCATATGGTTCCCCAAGTCAAATAGCAGGTGCCCTCTCTCCTCTGTGGGGATCTGGAATAATCTGCTGTGGAAGGTGTCAGAGGTGGGGACACTCTTGACCCCGCCTAGGTCACAGAATGCCAAGGTGCTGGGTGGAGAGAAATGACTGCGGAGTAGGGAGTCGGGTGGTG